AGCTTACGGGAATAGTAGGGAAGGTACATTCCAAATCCATATACATTCCAAAATGTCATAAATTAAGAGTTAGCAAAGTAGGGATTCATTGGATTTTACTCCTAAACATTTTTGTGGACATTTCTGGAAATAAAGAAAGAAAAGTGTGATAATTCCACTTCTACCTCACTTCTAGAATTTTCTTTTTGTTACCTGCTCTGGTGCTTGAATGATTATGTGCAAGTGTGTGTGTGTGTGTGTGTGTGTGTGTGTGTGCGCGCGCGCGCACACGCGCGCGCTCATGTGTTTGTGTTTGCAAATATGGACAAGTGTTGGTAGGGTTGGTATTCTCTTTCTAGTATTTCTGTACTATCTTACTAATAGGAGATTTGTAGGATCAGGACTCTGGACGTAGCCCTGAACTTCCTTAGTGCTTCTGGATTCAAACTGAGTAACTCACAAAATGTGTCTGCACCGGGGCTGGCTTGTGGTATTAATTTTCACAAAAGGCAAAAAACCTTTTGTTTCTGGTAGAAATTAAAGATGTATTTGTGACAGCCCTCACTTCCTTCTCACCAAGGTGAGCACCATCTTTTCCCTTTCATCTCATGAAACGGTTTCCAGGGTGACGTGTAAATTGCAGCCCATGGAATCTTCAGCTTTGCTGAAGGCCTAAGAACCATCAGACTAAATGACTGAGCTAACCGAGCTACTCCATTACTTTAATTTCAACTTGAATTCTTCTTCTTCTTCCGTGATTGAAATAGCATATTCCATTCCTGTAACAGCTGTTGTATGTGTGACCGACATCATCTGCTCGATCATAAGCAGTTTGGGGCAGGGATGGTGTCTTGTTCACGTCCACAGCCCTGCACATCATCTAGTGTTCAGTGAGGAATTGTTTTATTGAAGTGAATGGCATGATTGCAATGAAAACACAATAAAAGTTGACTTATTGCACCCCAGCATGTGCCTTACTCCGTGGGTACTTATTACAGTGACCCGAAGGCACTTCTGAATTCTTACGTGCTCTCTGAATTAGCAAAGAAACATGACCTTCTGCTCGGTACAGTGTTTGCGCTTAGTGCATATGACTGGATTCTGATTCTTTGGAAACAAGTTAATCTGCGAGGATGTCTGGTTTCTTTATGGTTCTGTGTCTTTGGTTAACCTGAATATCTTAAGATCTAATGCCCCAACCATGACAGATAGGATTAAAATTCCTTCCATGAAAAGAATATATTTATTTATGCTTCTACTATACATTTACATCTGAGTCATGTTTTGTAAAATCTTTATATCTTTGTTCTTCTCTTAGTATTTGACACATTCTCCGTGGCAGCCTCCAAGTCCCGGCACTTTTCCCTCAGGAGGCTGACATTTTTCACATGGAAACCTAAAGTCATTGAGGTTCAGGGCAGCCAAGTGACCTGCCCAAGCCCACGTGAGCATCTTGTGTAGATTTTACTTTTGGGTCTTGGTGTTACGATCTTCCAAGTAAATTCATGAGTATCATGTTGTCCTAAACTGCATGGTTTAGATTTCATTTTTGAAAATGAATATTATCTGGCCAATGTGTGTTTTAATTCTTTCTCTGTAAACTAGGATTTTTGGGGGGATTGGATTATAAGGAAGCTTATATATCGCATAAGCTGGAAACAATTCACATACACCAAAGAAAATAGCTAATGGAGCTAGGTGATAACAGTAAATGGGCCTGGGTGATTGGACAATTGGTGGAGCCCTGTGACCTGGGTGATCAGGAGAAGGTAGCTGGTGGGGAAGGGATTGGAAGCTGAGGGATGGGAAGGATTTGGGGAGATAAAGGGAGAGCATTAGGGCAGGGCAGATAGGATTCTTGCTGATCTGGCTGGTCAATATTAGCTTCCTCCCACAGGTTCACCTCTAAGCTAGGTAAACGGGTATTTCCAGGCACCTTATTTGGACTGTATATAGAGGCCCTTTGACAGCTGTGTCTGTTCTAAGCTCCTGTCTTTCACTTCCCTTCAATCTCAGAGCTCACTGGGCTGGATGTGGGTGGAGATTAGGGTCGTATATGACCAGGGCCAGCAGGCCTGTGCTATAGAGAGGAAGTAAGGCACCCTCCTCCCTAGAATTGATCTGTTCTGGAGCAAGAGGCCACGAGGAGCACAGAAGGCAGCACCAGGCTTGAACCTCCTGCTCAGAGAGGGGCCAGATGGGCAGAATAAGACTGCCTCTGGGTTTCTCAGAGTGTGGAGAGCACCGCTGGTTCCTGGCCAGCCCTCACAGCCTGCCTGCACTTCGGGCTTGCCCCTCGCCTTCCGTGCCTGCCTTCCTGCGCTCTCAAATCTCCGTCTGGAGCTGAGTGCACTTAGGTGCTAGGGAGAGGTGTTTCTCTCCAAGGTCTGAATGCATTGCAACCCTTCCTGAACTACAGGCTTGGATTTGGAACAAATCTAAGAGGTAGGGTTTCAGGCAGGATAATTTAAGTAGGAATTGGTTTCTGGTCACAGTTCACCATAAATATCCTCAAAAAATAAAAATTAAAAAAAAAAGAAAAAAAAGAATGGGAAAAATAGTCTTTGGTTATGGGAAATTGGGAGTCTTCCTAAAGATTTCAGGTCTGCCCTATGCGGGTTTCCTCTAATCCTTCTAGCAGGTTCCAGACGTTCCCTCCAGATCTGGCTCTGTTCCAGCCTCTGTCCTCCGAGGTTAGGATTAATAGTGTGTGACAGTCTCTGCCTCTTGGGCTGCCTTCTGGGAAGGGCCACGGCCAGGAGACGGGGCATGGGAACCCTCAGGGGGGTGCAGGAGCTGGGTGGTCCCCATGCCCTCCCCCATGTTGGGTAAACACTTCTCTCATGTCTGGTCTTCTGGGCTTGTTGTGTGTGCAGTGCTGTGGCTCTTGCAGCTGACCAGAGCCCCAGTAGGAACCTGGGCTCCCGTGCAGCAGCGGGAACCTGGCTTGGGGGATTGCACAACCCTCGGTTGAGTGGTTTTAGAAAGGGCTACTCAGGCCAGAAGTGCCCTCAGGCATTTGAAAAGAAATGAAATTTCAAACAAATTATTTTCCACTTAGCTTTGTCCTTTCAACTTGAGAAGTGTCATTTGGGTGACTGGTACTTGGATTAAAAAAAAATAGTTAAAAGTCCTTTTAAGCCAAAAGACAATATAGATTTCACTGGACTCATTCTCAAGATATGAAATTGTTGAATTGTTTTCCTTTGGCAATTGAAGCCAGAATTCGATGTTCTCTCTAACTTCCTTTTGGATGAGTTTCTTGTTCTTTGGAGAACATGTTGCCAGTTTTTCAATGGGTGTGAGCCTCAGTCTTTCTCCGCCTGCCTCGGCCCTGCCTGACTCCTCCCTCCTTGGGGTGGGGCCCTGCCGCTGCAGGGAGCTGCATATCTTGGGATGATGAAACACCTGGGGGAAAGGTTGGGGTTCCCATTGAACTAGAGCAGGTGGCAACCTGACCTGTCCTATTAATAATTCCTTCTGTACATTCCCATCATGCCCTTTTCTCGTGGTTCCAACTTTGCATGGGCTCTGTCTTGGAGAAAGAAGAAAAATAAATCTTTCTTCTGCCTTCCTGTCATTTTAAGCTATTGCTCTGATATATACTTGGAGGCAAAGGGAACAGAATGAGACTGTGCTTTGGAATCAGACAAGCCTCAGTACAGATCTGGGCTTTGGTAAATTATGATCTAGGAATTCTGGGGCAAATTAAAGCTTTCTGAGCTTTAATTTTGTTATTTATAAAATGAGAATGGTACTGATCTTCTAGGGTTATATTGTTAAATGCCTTCCTCTCTCCCTTTACTCTGATTTTCTCTACCACCCTCTCATAATCCTGCTTCCATTCCTCCCTTCACTGCAAGCTTCCAGAATTCTATGTACGCTGGGTGGCATTATCCCTTCTGGGGTTCCCTGAAGTTGACAAGAACAGGTCACTGGGTGAGCACGTCTTGGGCCCTATTATCTTTAGATACTTAGAGTCAGGGCACAGGCGGCGGTAGGTCATTGTGCTCACTTCCCCGGGGATTGTCAATGCCACCCCCACCTCCTCAGGGACCGGCATGTGCCACAATCATGGTTCAGTGGGATCCTCAGTGCCTAGCGATCTCTGCTCACCACAACAAAGATCCCAGGACCATGTATGTTCCGGGAGGCAAAGCAGGGTGTGTGGGCTTGGAACGAAGCTTTGTTCCACTTCTCGCCATAGGCTGTGGTCTAACTGCAGCTGTGTCTTGTGCTGCCTGGTTGACTTTTATGCCTGACATATGGTGTGGCAGAGTCCTGGGGTAAGAGCACTGTGTGGGCCCGTAGAGTCAGGAGAGTTTGGCCTAGTTACTTGGCCACTTGCAGGGGTTTCTGGAAAGTCAACTCTGAATCTCAGAGTTCAAAGGAAAGCTATAATTCCTGGTCACTTGGTAGGCAGCAAGTGAAAGTAATGTAGATGAAAATGCATTATGAGTAGCAAAGCAATGTAAAAATAATAACTAACATTTGTATTGCACTTTTTATGTGTGCCAGGCACTGTTCTGTCTACCTGTACTAATGCGTTTAGCTTAATGCTCACAACAACCCTATGGGAGAGGTACTGTTCATATCGCCATTTTACTGATGAGGAAACTGAGGCACAGAGAGGTTAAGTAGCTTGTGGAAGGTCACACAGCCAGCAAGTGATACCATCAGGGTTTGAACTGGGCAATGAGGTGTCAGAATTTGTTATTGTTTCTATTCCTATAGCACAGCGAGGAGGGGAACGCAGCCCCTGTTTGGAGAACACATCCAGCAGGCCTCCCGTAACCCACTGTGTGAGATGAAATGATGGTCCTACATTGCGCTACAGCCAGCCGCCCACAGTCCACAGCAACAGATCTGGCGTGCAGGGACATGGAGAGCTCAGATAATGAAAATCACGTGTTGTGCAATGAGTAGCTAGAATAAATGCCTGGATCTCATTTTGAGGAGTGCGCTGGCATCCCAGTTTCAAATCATTTGTTTTCCAGACCCGCTCTGGGATGAAAGTGCTGATGCGCCGTAAAATACCAACAGGCAGGATGCTGGAGGGCGCAGGAGCCGCCAGGGTTGTGCCGCCAATGTTCATGCTGACTTGTTGGCATAACGTGCAGCAGCGCCAGCTGCTCTGCTAAACAGTGGAGCCCAGACGCTGTGTCGATTTCCGCACGGTCAAGGCAAATGCTTCCCGAGAACTGTCAGGATTTTCATACTGGGTTGGCCTCGGGACCACTGAGCCAGCATCTACCCTTGACAGATGCAGAGAGAGATGACCTTTAAACCTAGGGATGTTCTCCAAATGCAGTTCCAGCTGAGCCAGTGAGATCTGCATGTTTATCGCACCGTGTTCTGTCTTCTCTTTCTTTTCAGGCGGCCGGGATTGCTCACCACCTGCAGTGCCCTTTCGGAGGCGGCGGCTGGCACGGAGGCCAGGCTACATGAGAAGCTCGGCCGGGCCTGGGATCAGGTTCCCCTCCCCAGCAGTGGGCATGCCGGCCCGGGTCCTGGGAGGGGTGTGTGGCGAGGAGTCCCACCACTCTGAGTCCAGAGCCGGACAGTGCAGCCTCGACCCAGGAGGCCAGTGTCCAGGCCTCTTGGTCAGGAGCCCTGTTCCTAAGAGCACAACAGCCCCTGCTGTGACCTCTGTGGGCCACCCAGGCCTGGCTCTGACCTCTGTGAGAGGAACCTCAGCACGCTTTGGGATTCAGCACAGAGCTGGCGCCAGACTGCCCGACAGGCTAAGCAGGCCCCGTGGCCCTGGGAACGCCGGGTGTCGGCCAGAGTATTCATCCATGGACAGTTCGGAGGCCCCGTGCGCTAGCTGGGACGCAGCCTGCCGTGAAGGAGCAAGGGGCACCCGGGCAGCAGGCCCCCTGGCACCAGCGGAGTTGAGTAGCAGCAGCTGCAGCCTTGGAAGTGGCCGCTTAGCCCGCTCAGCCCCTCCTGGCTCTCACGATGCCTTCACCTCGAGCTTTAGCTTCATTCGGCTGTCACTGGGCTCCGCTGGGGAACGTGGGGAAGCGGAGGGCTGCCCGCCATCCAGAGAGGCCGAGTGCCGTCGTCAGAGCCCCCAGGAGGTGGGCGCCAAAGCTGCCGGCTTGGACAGGCCCCACGAGGACCCTCGATACCTCTCTTGGCCCTTCGATCTCTCGCCTGCTCAGGGCTCGGCAGACTCCGCCTGGGCTGTAGGGAGCAGCTCCAGGACGGAGCATGAGATGCTTTCTTGCCTGGACGTGGATGCTGATTCCTCCTGGTCCCCGGATCCCCTGTTGGCTGACTGCGGAGGTGACGAGGGCGGCGGCTCGGGGGATGCCCATCACTGGGACGCCCTGCTCAGGAAGTGGGAGCCCGTGCTGCAGGGCTGTCTGCTGAGCAACCGGAGGCAGGTGGAGGTCGGTGTCTCCTTGGCCACGAGAGCTCAGACTAGTGCCGGGCAGAGGGCAGAAATGAGGGTGGTGGGCTTGGGCTCAAGCGACTCCCCTTGGAAGCTGCAGCAGCTCCTTTTGTGGCTGCTGCACAAAGATGTCGCTGCACTTCTGTCTCTTTGAGTTCAAACGTAAACCTCTCTCCTTTCATCTCTGTCGCTTAGGTGCTCAGGTTCGCTCCCCGCTGGGCTGCGGCTCCTCCGTAGTCCCTGGCCTGGGTGAGACGTGGCTGCCAGGCCTCTCTCTGCTTTGAAACAGGAAACTGGGGGCAGGGCGATGCGGCTGGCTGGTGTTTAGAAGGGGTTGAGAGGTACGAAATGGGGATGCCCTGCACTGGGGCCATCCTGGTCTTCCTCTGCGTTTGCTCCACTCGTTTCCTCCCATCCTGCTGCAGTGGGGGCTGCCTTCCCTAGAGTCAGGGGGCTTCATTCTGACCATTAAACCTTGCTGGCCCTCAGTTTCCTTATTTAGAGATAAAAACACTCATAGGATTGTTCTGAGGCTCAATGAGAAGTAGGTGCTTTGGAGATGAGGACAAGCTGGGCTCACGTCAGCCAGCATTGTCCAGTTACCTGAGAAGCAGGTGCAGCCGGAGGTCGGCAGGGCTCTACCCCCCCAATTCCCAGAGAAACCCAGGTAGAGATACTTTGTGGCTGACCCACTGACAGACTGTTTTCGTTGTGGGGTGTGTGTGCATGTTTGTATGTGCTTGCACGTGTGTGTGTGTGCACATGTGCATGGGAGTAGGGAAATAGAGCTCTCACTCGTCAGGCATTCGGTTAGACGGTCCAAAATGTGGAAGTTCTTGTTCATCCCCCGCAGTTGCATCTTATCTACTTTCGATTCTTTTCCTGCAGCCCGATGTTCCTAGCCCCGTCCCTGTTTGCCCTATTTGGCCCTCAGGGACCTCAGCCCAGGTCTCCGATTTGAGACTTGGAGAGAGAATGAAGGTAGAGCAGAGATGCAGGCCTTTTTCTGGGCGGTGTTTGGACCAGTCCAAAACCAATGCCATTTTCCTTCCCTGTCCTAAAGGACCTCACGCAGGCCGCAGCCGGCTTCCACGGCTGCCTCTCCCTCACTCCCCATATCTGGCTTCGTCCTACTGCAAACCTGCCTCTCACGGCCACGGCCACGGCCTTGTGTCACATCCGAGTTATCTTCCACTGGGGTTTTGCAAGAGATCCTGTTGCCCTCCTGCTGTGTTTCTCTTCTCCAGTTTGTCCTCTATGAGGCCAGTGGAGTAACCTTTCTAAAACGTGGGTGGGACAGTGTTATTCCTTGGCTTAAAGCCTTTGGTGGCTCCTTGTTGATCTCGGGCTAGCTCCGGGCTCTTATCCTGGCAATCAAGACCTTGCCCGATGTGCCCTCAGCCAGCTCTAGCCCCTTACTCCTGCCGGCTCCAGCCATGTGGTGCCGAAGACACCAGGGAAAGCTGTGCCCCAGGCCTTTGCTCACTTTTCCCTCTGCCTGGCATGACCTTCCTACACTTTTCCACTTGCTGAGCTCCCACTTATTTCTTTTGTTGAAGGTCCGAAGCCACTTCCTTGTGCAATATTTCCTAAGAGACAGGGTCTCGCTCTGTTGCCCAGGCTGGAGTGAAGTGATGCAATCATAGCTCACTGTAGCCTTGAACTCCTGGGCTCAAGTGATCTCCTGCCTCAGCATCCCAAGTAGCTGGGACTACAGGTGTGCACCACACCCAGCTAATTTTTCTTTTTTTTTTTCGTAGAAATGGGCTCTTGCTATGTTGTCCAGGCTGGTCTCAAACTTCTGGCCTCAAGTGATCCTTCCACTTCGCCTCCCAAAGTGCTGGGATTATAGGCATGAACCACGGTGCCCGGCCACTTTTAATAATAATAATTTATTTGTGGTTCCAACTTCTCCATGCGACCCTGAATTCCACAACCATAGGTCACTTCTCTTAGACATTTTCAGATGTCTGATGCCTAGCACATTTCTGGGCCTCCACAGGTGTTTAATTTTTTGTAGTGAAATAATTAATCTTATTAAGATGGGCCAAAGATATCTAATCGACAGACTTCTTGGGTTGAATGTCCAATGCAGAAGAGAATGTGAGAGGTAGGCACACAAAGAACAAAGACACTAAGTGGAGATTGACATCATTATATTTTTTTCAACTCTAAATGTCAATTTTCAACACTGCATTTCAGAGACTTTTTTAAAAAAAAATCTTGGCAACATATCTGCATTTCTCTATCTCAAAAATTCAAGTTTTGACCAAGTGAGGCAAAAGTCAGAATGCTGTTATGCAGGCCAGCTCCCCTCCCTCCCAAATAACCTAACAGAAATGGGCCTTGGCAACAATCCTGCTACAGTCCACAAGATTTGGCCCTCTGGGTCCTGGTAGCATCAATAGCTTCTTCCTTCCTTTTGACTCCTTTTACCAGGATGTAGATCATGTTCTCCTGACAACCTAGAGTTTTGGGTAAACTGCAGTCTGTTGGACCCTGAGATCATGTGGCTCTCTGGGGCCCCACCCTGCCGGGGGCTCACATGCACCCTCTCTAGACCACTAGGTCACTGGAGGGGCCTGGGAGCCGAAACCCCAGGGCCTGTGGCTTAACCCACTTTTTGGAGATCATGAGGTTTAGTTTTAGAAAGAAACAAAACCAGCTGTAAATACATCCCTTCCTTTCTCCTTTATTGCCCAAAGTCAGTTTTTAAAAGTAAATAATTGGTCATAACCCACTAGAAAGTTATTCCTGGGGAAGAGAGGCGCGGTGAACCACGCATGCCTGGTGCTGTGTCTCCCATGATTTTCCTGCACTGCTGGAATTGTCGAGGGGGCCCTGCGGCCTGTGGGGTCCTGCCGGCACATGTGAGCTGACCCAGGGAACTTTGCAGCGTGGAGGGTGAGTGGGGCCGCCTGCAAGTGACGGCTGGCAATGTCCCTTCCCAGCTGTGTGAGCGTAGGCAGTTCACTGAATTGTGCTGTGCCTCGAGATGCTCCTGTACAAAATGGGGACAATGACCTCATACCTACTTCATTAGACCGAGGATAAAATGCGCTGGCACACGCAAGGTGCTTCAGGTGGGGTCTGGCCCCAAGCAAATACCCTGAACATCATCCGTTTTTATCATTAGAGAAGTAGCTCCAATGAAGAGAGTCTGAGTCAAAAAAAACCAAGTTCTGCTTTCTTCCCGTAGCTCAAAGTAAACTCGTATCTAGTCTCAAATGACAGGCTGTGGACACAATTTAACTGTAGTTTAGGTATTGTCTGTGGTAAAACAACACCTGGGTGAGGGAAAACATGACTCCATCTTTAATCACAGTCATATGCCACATAATGACATTTGAGTCAACAATGGACCGCATATGTGATGGTGGTTCCACAAGATTATAATATTGTGTTTTCACAGTACCTTTTCCATGTTTAGATATGTTTAGATGCACAAATACTTACCATTGTGTTACAGTTGCCTACAGTGTTCAGTAGAGTCATGCAGGTTTGTAGGTTTGTAGCCAAGGAGCAATAGGCCACCCCACATAGCCTAGTGTGCAGCAGGCTACACCATCTAGGTTGTGTGGTACACTCTAGCATGTTTGCGCAACGACAGAATCTAACAACGTATTTCTCAGACTGTATCCCTGTTGTTAAGCAATGCATGACTGTATCTGAATATCTGTTGTGTGGAAGAAGAATTAACCTTATTCAGAGTAGTGGGAATGACAGAAAGGACTCTGTCCAGGGCATAGGACCTACAGGAAGGCAGATCTTGCTTCAGCAGGAGAAAGAACTTCCTGATAGTGGGAGTTGTCTGCATGAGGGAGGCTGCGTGGGGTGGGGCTATTTTTCCCCTGTGTTCATGCAGAAGCCCGAGATTGCCCATTTGGGCTACTGGTGAGGCTCTCAGGACTGGGGAGAGGGTGAATTGAGGATCTTCAAAAAGATCGTTTGAGAGATAGGATGCTAGTGTTTTGGGGCTTTTTGGACATTCTAATTCCTCAACCCCCTCTCTCTTCTACTTAGGTAAGAGTGTGAATCTCAGGAATTTAAGTTTCAACTCCTTTTCATATGTGGCTGATCCCCAGTATTGATGTATTCTATACGTGTGAATTGGTCTACTTGCTAAAGGTTATTGATAACTCCAAAATCAATACTCACAGCACTTGCATGGTCATTTTTGGACATGCACAGAGTGGCAAAATATTTGAGTCACCTGATGTGCACGTTACCAGCTGAGGTGGAACAACGTCAATGCTCTGCCTTCTCGTTTCAGCCCTCATACCACACACGAGTGTCCTTCTTGTGGTCTATTTAGTGCCATATTTTTTTTCACATTTCTGTGCTTTTTGTTGGAGATTTTGGTGTTTAGAATGGCCCCAAGCATAGTGCTGAAATGCTGTCTAATGTCCTAAGTGCAGCAAGGCCATGAGGAGCCCCATGGAGAAAATACACACGTGAGATGAGCTTTGCTCAGGCATGAGTCATGTGCTGTTGGCCATGAGCTCAATGTTAATGGATCAACAATATATATTCAATAAGGTGTTTTTAAACAGAAATACACATAAGATATTGTTATGTATTGATTGGTTGAGGAAAATTTTGTGACCAGAGGCTCGTAGGCACCTACCCTGTATTTCTCCTAGGAGCACACCTAGGTCTTCTCTAATTCAGTGCTCGCAACAGCTTTACAGAGCATCACTGCAGTGCTGTGCATAACGAGAACCGAGAGCGTGTGTGTGTGATTTACGCTGCCTGGAAATAGCCACCCAGGAGCATTGCCGGTTGCGTGGGCCTGAGAAGATAGTGATAAAGGCAAGTGCTAACGGGGCATGCAGAGGAGGGCAGTGGCGCGAGCCTGCAAGGTGGGCCCCACTGAGGTCGTGGAAGCTGATGAGAAAGGAAAGATGTTACCTGTGTGCCTCCCGTGGGTTGTGGCACTGTGTGTGACGTGGCCACGGGGGCTGTGCGTCCAGCAGTGATGGACATTCAGACATGCCCCAGGGCAGGCAGTTCAGGGTCTCACCGGGATCATTGCATGAGGGGCCCGTGGTAGGGTGGGCTTTGGATGTCAGTGAATTTTTTGACCTTCTTTCCTATATTTCTTCTGCTTCAGTTCTAGTAAGTGTTCAACGGTTCCGTCATCTGGGTGTGGTGATGGTAACGCTATAGCTTTGTATGGCCATCGAACTACTCACACAACCCTTCTATCCCTGATACATAGGACTACGTCACTGGTAAAACTCACAGTTGTGCTATAGAGTCATTCAAGGACAAAGGTTTAACATGATTATTTGTTCATTCAGAAAGTGTTTGCCCACGACTACCAGGGCGGTGCCTTGAGCTAGGCTTTGGAGATGGTGTTATTGATAGTTAGGACAGGCCAGGAACAAACAGCAACACTGTATTAGAGGTTCCACAACACAAAACCGTGTTTCTTGCTTATGCTTCAAGTTCCACAGAGGTTTCTGGGGGCTGTGCCATAGAGTCACTAAAGAACCCGGCCTGTGCTATATGAATGTATGGCCCCTTAGTCACTGAGACAAGGAAGAGCACACTACGGAGTCCTTGAAGAGCAATGAAATGCATCAGCACGGGAAGTGACCCCCATCACGTCCACTCACATGCCATCAAGCAGGACATGGGGGAGAAATCCTTCCATGTGCCCAGAGCTGAGCAAAAACAAATAAGGGTGAGCACAGCATGTTCTTCATGGGTACAAAATAGTTTTTGCCCTCCAGATGCTCAAGGTTGAATGATGTGCACAAACGAAACAAAACGAAGTAAAAGGATAGCTATACCGTGGTGTGATAGGGACTAAGATAATTTCTTGGAACTCCATTCTTCCAGCGGCTCAGACTGAAAGCCTTGGTGTCATCCTGACTCCTCGTCTCACATCCCGCCTGGGATTTATCAACGAATCCTTTGGCTCTACCTTCAACCCACCATCTTCTCAACGTGTCCAGAGTCAGACCCCCTCTCCCCATCCTTGCTGCTGGCCTTGCACTCCCTGCAATCCAAACTCCCATCGGCGCCCTTCTGGTGTATTCCATGGCCGCTTACCAGGTCTCTCTTCTGCTGCCCTTGCCCTCGGCAGCTGAAATGAAACTATTAAAACATAAATCAGATCATGTGCTCTTTTGCCCGAAACCCTCCATTGGCTCCCCACGAATTTCAGAGTAAAATTAGAACTTTTAAGTGGTCTCCATGTCTCTTCACAATGCTTTCCTCATTACCTTTCTGACCTCATCTATAAATACAATTTCCCCTTCAATCAATCCACCCAAACCAAGTGGGTTCTTGCTTTCGCTTGCTTTTCACGTCACTTTCACTTCTTGCTTTCCTACCAGGAACACTTCTTTCCAGAGCTTTTGGACTGGCTCTTTTCTCCGTGGGAATGTTTTTCTCCCAGACAGCCTCGTGGTTCACTCCCTTACTTCACTCACTTCTAAGTCTTTGCTTAAATGTCACTTTCTCAGCGAGATCATATTTAAAATTGCAACACTCGTCCTCTGCTAGCATTCCTGATCTCCCTTACTTGGTTCTACTTTTTCCTTTTCTCATAGCACTAATCACTGACTAAGGCACCATAAAATTTCCTTACAGTTGACCCTTGAACAATAGAAGTTTGAACCGTGTGGGTCCACTTGTACCTGGATTTTCTTCTGTCTCTGTCATCCCTGAGACAGCAAGACCAACCCTTTCTCTTCCTCCTCCTCCTCAGCCTACTCAGTGTGAAGATGATGAGGATGAAGACCTTTACGATGACCCACGTCCACTTAATGAATAGTAAATATGTTTTCTCTTCCCTATGATTTTCTTAATTAAATTTTATTTTCTCTAGCTTACTTTATGATAAGAATACAGTATATAAAACATAAAAAATATTATAAAATATATATTAATATCTGTTTATGCTATTGTTAAGGGTTTGGTCAACAGTAGGCTATTAGCAGTTAAGCTTTGAGAGTCAAAAGTTATATGTGGATTTTTAACTGTGAGGGGCATCAGTGCCCTTACCCCTCATGTTGTTCAAGGATCAACTGTATAATGTTTATTTTTTTGTCTAGAATGTAAGTCTAGAGGGCTAAGAATTTGGCGATGTATCCTCAGCACCTCAAAGATTGCCTGGCACCTAAGCGTCACTCAGTGAATATCTGATGGATGATCTATGAGTAGAAGCAAGTACAGGTCACGATGGCATATGGAAGAGGGACATTGAACACAGACTGGGGGAGACAATACCTGAGCTAGTGTTGAAGGAAATGTAGGTGTGAGCCAGGCAAGGAAGGGGAGGAAGGTGTTTGTAGGGAACAAGCCCAAACGCATTCACTGACGGTCAGGCCAAGAATCCACCTTCAGGAAGTCTCTGGGTCTCCTGTTTAGAAGAACAATGATTACAAGTGAACAGACTGGTAATACCCACATGAGTGACTGGATCATTGAGTCTATATGCAGGTTAAATTAGACTGTGCCTTTTCCTCTTATGGACAATATTTGAACTTTAGGACCTTTCTGAAGGGTTTTGTGAGGGCCTTGCTGTCCTCCTACCCAGCCTTGGGGACAGCCTGCTGCGCTGAAGTGCATGCTTTTCTCTTGGTTTCCCTTCTAATTTTGGTGTGTTTACCTTCGTAATTTCAATGTGATTTTTAGAACAGAGACCATTTGGTCAGGAAATTTGTATTCCTTCTCATTATGCATTTTTTCATGCAGATAAGGGCACAGTGTGATGTTTTTGTTTAAAATAACATTCTAACTTTTTCTGTGGATTTTATGCTCAAATTACACGTCTTCTTTATATAATCTTTTTTGGGGGAGAGAAACAAATGCATCTGGCATTAGAAAAATGTGCATTTGTGGTTTTTCTTCTAAAGGAGAATAAGTTCAGTTTTGAAATGGTTTCTAAATGTTCTTAGTTTTTGCAAAATAAGTTTGCTTGAATGCTATTGTAATTGGTTTTTCATTTCCCCCCCTTCAAACCAACATAGGTAACTTCCTTAAGATTAAAGCTTCAGAAACTTCAAGAAACAGCAGTTGAGGATGATGATTATGATAAAGGTGAGTTTTAATTTGTTTACTTTTCCCCATAATGTCCCACTTCTCTTCCCCTCCTGTCTCCTCGCGACCTTCTGCACCCCAGTGAATTGTGCAACCTGCTCCTCTCGTCACTGCCACTGGGGCACAGTAGACTGTCTCACAACACTGTTGTTTTGTGTATTTCAAAGCAGTTTCTGACCTCTGGGTTATCAGTGCCACTTTGTTGATTTTCCAGAAACACTTGGAGTCCTTGCACAATAAAAATTACATTAACTTATCATTTGCCTGGACATGGTATGATATATCTATAGTTCATTCATTCACCCAAAAAATGATTTGTTGAGCACCTATTATGTGCTAGATAATGTGGCAGGCAGTGAGAGTAGACACAGTGTCTGCCCTTGTGATGCCAGTAGATATGCGCCCTCGTGGGGCTTTCCGACTTCATACTCTCTGGGACAAGAAGTAGGAAATGAGAGATGAGAATTATGAGAAATAGGAATTCCAGAGATGTCAGGCTGTGCTAAAGGGGGTCACGTGCATCAAATTTCCACACACATGGCCTAAAATACTCAATATGGAAAGGAGAAGTTACAACATGAGGCCAGAAGATAGAGGAGTTGGTCAGAAGCTGGGAAAAAAGAATTAAAACGAGGCACCAAAATAGGAGTTGGGTGAGAAGCAGACAGGAGCTAACATGGGGGCTGACTGGGCACAGGGTAGACTGAGTCAAAGGAAGGCTTTCAGGTGTGATTGGCCTGGGAGGAATCTTAAGGGTGTTAGAGGCTGATTGTGCAAGACCTCACACCGATTTCTGCTGGGCGTGAGAAGGAGAGAGGGCTTAAAATGACTTTAAGTTTCCCCCAGACACCCATCAACTTGATAGGTACTCCTGATGGTGTACATCCAGGGTTGGTCTGGAAATGGCATGTACATTTAAGGATTCTTTTTGAAACTGGTTAGCCTTCAAGGCATGGGACTTCAACCTTCCTGGTCTGTATTCTGATACTCTCACTGAATAAGTCACAAGCTGTTGGAATCAGGCCACTATAGGAATAAGGTGAGTGATTTCCAAGGGAGGTTGAAAATCCTGTTCTAAGGACTGTGCAGAGCTGACGCTGTCTGGTATACTCACTGCATATGCCACTGAGGTTGGTTTTGGAAATGGGACGGGGTGGGAGGAAGGGAGAAGGATTTGGGGCTGAGAGTGGGACCCTTTAAACTCTCCCACTCCTCCTCCTACAGGATGCTTGATGCTGGTGGAGGACGAGGGGCCTGGGAGGGGAAGCCAGTCTGAGGCCAGGGAAAGGACCGCCACAGCCCCAGCGAAGGCTCTGTGGCCCTGCGCACAGCTGTAGACAGAGAGCAAATGAGCTGTTCCCAGACCAAGGCTCACCCACTGACTTTTGTCTGTGAGACAATTAAACCTAGTTTTGAAGTTCCCCACCATTGCACAGATTTATTTTCCTTGCCATAGGTTGAGTCTTGGTCCCTCCACCTTTAACGACACTGTGGCACACAAAGCCTGCAACACAAATAGAAAACCGTGTCCTATTTTTTGTCCTCAGGACCTGGTGAACTTTCTTCACTTGGTTCTCTCCATGGGCTTCATTAAACCAAAACCTCACTTCTTCAGTCTTTGTTCCCAAACATCTCTGCAACACCTAAGGGAACGAAGTTTCATAGGACACACCTCATCAGGGAAGCTGAAAGAATGGAGGCATCTTTCTTTAGTCTTTCTGCCTGGTTTCGTTCTTGTTGGTACGTCACTGTCAGATGGTGGGCTCATCATATTGTATTTCCAAACGCCTTCCAGGTGATTGGGGTGTGCGCTGAAGTTTGAGAATTGTGGTGCAGGTTTACTCCATGGAGAGCCAGGCCTGGCGGGGAGTAGCCAGCCGAGTCCTGGAGGTGGGGGTTTAGTCTGTGGGCTGCATCCTCCCCACCCACAAGGAGTCCATGCAGTGGACAAACACCCTGCTAGGCACTTAACACGCTGATTCACATACTGCTTTTGCTCCATTGAAACTCCAAACCTGTAAACCTGGTTCAGTGTGTTGAGAGGCAAATGTTCTTGTGAAATGTGCAAAGTGCCTGGCATATGGCAGGTAGGCACTCAATAAATGTGTGAGGGAATTAATAAATGACTTGCCACCTGAATGCACAGAGGCCATGAATGGCAAGCTGGGGTGAGCAGCGAGAAAGGACTCTTGCCATTTCAAGATGGGATCAATCCCCGGCTCATCTGCAGGGACCAGGGTGGGGGTGGGGGTGCACGAGGGGGAAGATTTATGTGCAGAAGTTGGCTTATGTGAAAAATATCTATTAAGCATCCACTCCATATAACTGCGTCTCAGACTTCGATGTATGTATGAATCACTTGGGTCGGTAACTGGTTAAAATGCAGATGCTAAGTCAGTCTGGGGTGGGGCTTGAGGCTTTATTTCTAATTAGCTCCTAAATGCTGCTCATGCTGCCGGCTTGTGAGCCACACTTTGAGTAAAGATGGCGTATAAGGAATCAAAACAATGCCATTTATAAAGACGCGCCAAATGCTATCCTCGAGATTCACATCTCAAGGAGTATATAGATCAGGAGGGGAGACGCCACAGTGCACGGTACTGATAAAAAGCCATGCATAACATGCCCCTTAGAATAAGGAACCACAAAGTGAGTTCCAGAAGGGGAGAAATCACTTCTGCCAGAGGTTGGGGTGCATGAAGGATCAGAGATATGGAGGAGGTGGTAGTTTAGCTGGGTCTTGAAGGATGAGTGTGATGCAGCTGGCAGGGCATTCTACAGAAGAAAAGAGGTAGGAAAGGCACTGTTGCTGCTAGCCACCATCCAGAAGTCTGGCTGGCTTGAAAAGAGACTGGAATCTGGCTGCTATCTGAAATGGATCACAGCAGGGCCCAGTGCTCAGCCCTGCACATAGTAAGTGGTCAGTAAATTCTTGTACGTTGATCGCTAAGTCATTAGGAAAGTTTGGATGACATTGAGGTGGAGAATTTGTTTTAATATTTGTTAAAATAGGATTCGAATCCAGTTTCTTTTCCAGTCTACCTTATCCAGGGTTACTAATAAACATTTGCAGAATTGTTGAGATTTTTATTATTCATACTCTATGTTGGAACTTGCTTCTTTTTCACTGTTAGGAGTGGCTATGCAGCCTGGCTGTGTCTCGGGGGAAGGGGTCTGCTGGAATCCAAGAGCCAGGAGAAACCAGCGGGCGATCTTATCTCCCTTTGTTTTTGTTGCTTTTTTAAATCTTTCTTTTTTCTAGTTTCACTCATAAAAATGACTTTGTGTTCCAGAGAAAGGAGCAATTGGCACAGAATGGAAAGTTCCATGTTTTATCTCATCAAAGTGCTGGAAAATTTACCCACTAATGCCTTGTGGGGAAACCTTCTCAGGGCTCTAATTACATCTCTCCCTCGCCAGGGAAGTAAAGTTAATATTTCCTTATATGCCTGCAGAAGGCTGGGAGGGCTTGGGAAAAAAAGAATAATGCCTTTTGGTATTGGCTTAGGGTCTTTCTCCAAGAGGCTCTATCAGTTTCAACTCATTAATGCATGTCTCGTGCCTGTGGTCAGCCGAGGGCAAGTTCGACACCTCGGAGTCCTACAGAGAGAAATTGTGGTCCAAACGTTGGAGATGAGGAGTCAGGCTCTGTGGGGAATGGTTTTCCATGTTGTTCCTGCATTGGTTTGTGCCCACGATGTCCCCCTGACTGCCCACGTCCCAGGTCCACTCGTGACCATGCATGCCATTTTGCTTCCGAAGTGAGCAAGGGGAGATTGTTGAGGAGGAAGGAGCAAAATTTCCAGAATTCAGCATTTCAGCGATAAATGGCACAGCCAGCTTTGCCCTGCTTGTTGAGAATTTCCTTCTTGGAGTCGCCAGCATGGAATTACTTTCTTGATCCTTTGTCTCAACTCATATCCATTATGACAAAATTCTAGCATAATAAACATTTGGAGGCATTGAAAGAAAAATGATCGCAGCCGAGACCAACTATAAAAACACTCCAGGGCGAGACCAGCTCTTGTCTAAATTACCATAATCTCCATTTTTCTGAATTCTGTCTTGAATAAGATTTTTCTCTCTGCAGTTACTCTTCGGGGATGGTGTGCAAATTACCCAACCCGACACCCCTTCCTTTCGTGGGGATCCTGCCCTGCACCTCCCTCAGGGCCTGGCGTCCGAGTGGCTTCCTGGAGCCTCGTGGTTAGAAGCAGAACCCGTGCCACAGAACTGTATATGTGACTGAGCACGGCAGAAAGCCACCGGTTCCTCTGCAGTGCATTTCAGTCCAGGCTAGAAAGAGGAAAACAAGATTGAATAGGATCCGGCCATTTTTGTATCCCCCAGATTGCCAGAGTCAATGGGAGGTAGATGCCATGTGGGGCCCATAGAACAGAAATGCCACTCGTGCCAACCTGTATTATTTTCCTTCTGACTTAAAAAGTGGACTGCATTTGGAGTCTGCTCAGACAGACAGGCCCAGCAAAATCGCCATTTTAAAATGTCTACAGAGAAAAAAGCAAAGGTGGCCACAGGCAAAATTTCCACCTGCCGCTCCCTTGAACAGGCACTTCCCTCCCTCCCTGAACCCAAGCACTTTGGAACATTCTAGTTCTTTCCTGCTCTTTATAGAGCTCTCCCCCCTTTGCTATCAGGGTTGCTCACAGCATCCCCTTGTCTTGAGATAACACCCAAATCTGTTGATTTAAAAGAAAAATCAACAGCTCAAATCTCAAGGAGGTGTCATGAGCCTCGCAGCACCATTGGCACCCATGAAAAATGCCAAGTTAGACCTGCAAACACAAATGAGCGATGCTCAAAGTCACCATTGGCCACCATCTCTGCCCTTAACTGACGGACTTGTAAGTTCCCTTGTAAACGGGAGGAGAAGCTGAGATAACGCAACCAAGTAAAGAAAATGGCATTTTGCATATATCCTTTTCCTGTGATGTGTTTGTCTTATTGTATAGCTGATGCAGCGGGGACAGTTATAATCC